GCATTTATTTGATAGTTTTAGGTAGTCTACTTTGCCAATTATGATTTCATACACAAACCATATGATGAGGTTATGATGCACTGGTATAGAAAACATTACCCAACAATATAATTTAAGCTGGATCAGCTACGACAGTAAAATGCTTCCACATGTTGGCTATGCATCCGTAAATAATCAAGTACATTTTGCAAATTACTTTTACTTGCATTTTAAATGCAGGACGTCTCCTATTTATTATTATTAATATTATTTATTTATTCTTTACAATTATTTACTTGTATCTTTTGGCAAGGGAACACCTTATCAACACAAGTTTTCAAGCTCTTCTGCATTCAGCTTTGAATGACCCCAACAACTGATGGTCTTTGCATTAAAAGATTTAAAAATGCAATTTATGAAAGTTTAACATGTGTGGTCACATGGATGCATGTATATAACAAATATGGACGTGATAATTGTACACATCCCTGGAGGAGTGGGTGTCATTGTCAGCAGTCACCTCTTTGTCTGGTTGGGTTATATGTGTCCCGGACTGCAGATTAATAATCGAGAAAATAATAATTTGAGAAAGCACATTTGTTCTCAAGGCCTTTGATTGTCTGAAAGTTTATTTCAGTCTGTCCAATAAGAATTAATAACGGGAAGGACACACAATTTTGATAGCTGCCTTTAGACAAAATATATTCCTCTGCAATCAGCTGCAATCATTATTAAAGAGATTAATCACACCCAACGGGCCTCCATCTGGGGGCTGTTATTTATGACTCAGTTTTAGTCATAATTTAGCTGATATAAATAATTTTCCAATTTAAGACATTTCTTAAAATGATAGAATCTATAAATCCACCACATTGGTGCTGATCTGATACATTCGCCACAAAAACATTGAACCCTGATTATAGTATATTTAACTTGCTTAAAGTTAATTTGTGCTGTCATCCAAAATAATTTTTTGTTGTTTTTGTTATTATTATTATCATTATTATATAAGGCTGGGAATGTGGGTTTGTAATTATCTAATTGAACAAAGGTGATATGATGCTTATATCACATGCTTTAATGATTCTCTGTGCACACGTTTTTTTCATGCACAACTTTTAATTCTATAATAACAGCAACCTTCACAATAACAAGAGTTGTGGACGAAATAAATGCACCATGGAATAAGCAGCAACAAAAACAACACAGCTGTGTAAAGGCGCTATGTACAGGGGTCACTGCATGGAGCTGTCCCAGTGTGTCTGCAGATCCAGAGAAAGTCCCACTGTCTTAATGTCAAGGTCATGATCTACCACATTTAGTCAAATAACGTTCGCTTTAGATGTTTGTTTTTGGTGCATTAGATTTGGACTTTTTAATTTTCACATTGACTTCAGGAATGAAATTGCCCTTTCAGTCTTCACTCATCTTAATTCCTGCTTTTTCTGCGCGCCTCCCTGCCAGACTTCAGCTCCATCAGTTCCACCTCGTGCTTCGCCGCAGTCTCCAGGACTTTCTGTTTATTGTAGAAGACCACAAAGTTATTAATGATGGGGTGGATGGGCAAGGCGATGGCTATCACCCCGCACAGAAAGCTCACGGCCGCGTTGCACTTGCCGAGCGTGGTTTTGGGGTAGATGTCTCCGTAGCCCACCGTGGTCATGGTGATGATGGCCCACCAGAAAGACTGCGGGATGCTCCTGAAAAGGGTCTCCGGGTGGCTTTGCTCCATGGTGTAGGCCAACGCAGAAAACACAAAGATCCCCACACCCATGTACATGAGGAGCAGTCCGAGCTCTTTGAGGCTCTTCTTGAGCGCGTAGGTCAGAGTCTGCAGGCCGGAGGAGTGGCGCGCCAGCTTGAAAATACGCGCGATGCGCATGATGCGGAGCGCCTGGACAGCCTGCTGGACGTTACCCAGCTCCATCATGGATGTGGTGCCGAGGTAGGTGAGTGACAGGACCACGTAGAAAGGCATGATGGCCATAAAGTCTATGATGTTCATGAAGGAGAGCGCGAAGTGCAGCTTGTTCGGAGAGGAGGCGAGACGCAGAAGGTACTCTGCGGTGAACCACGACATGCAGACGGTCTCGATCGCCTCCAGGGCCGGGTGCTCCACTAGTTTTCCCTCGGTGTCCGCCACCTGGAGCTCCGGGATGGTCCCCATGCACATCACCACCGCCGAAACCAGGACGGAGAGGAAGGATGCGATGGCAATAATGCGCGCCGGCAAGGAGGAACCCGGCTTTTCCATCAGTTTCCACAAGAACCTCTGGCACCGCTGGCTGCGCGTAAAACACTGATCCACCTCCAGATCCTCCAGAATGACTTTGACTTTGTTTGCAATCTCCTTCAGCTCATCCTCCTTCTCACTTAGGTAACTTCTGCAGCACTCATCTAAAACACTTTGGTCTATTTTCCAGAACTCCATCTCCTTGATGAAACAGATGGGGCAGATGCCGCGTTTGATGTGGATTTCATCAAAATAGTAAACGTCGATGATGCACTTGAAGGCATCGGGATCTCGGTCAAAGTAAAACTCTTTCCTGCCCGGATCGAAGTCATCACAAAGCGACGTGATAACTTCGTAATTCTGAGTTGAGCAATTCAACAACTCCGCCAGTCTGCTCTCCGGATAGCGGTTCAAAACATCCCCGAAAAGCACCACTCGGACTCCGCCAATGTTCACAGCAATCTCCCCCTCGGCGCACAAACCAGTTCTGTATTTTGGCTTCGGTAGTGTCCACATTTTACTAAATGTTTGACTGAATATCTGTGTATCCAATAATGTCAAAGTAAAGCGTACTAGCCAGAATTCATGTCCATTACTTCGGCGCGTAAATGTTTCCTCTCAACACTGTTCCATGCACTGAATGGCACCGCTTTAGCGGCCAGCTTTCCCTAACACTTCCCACCTTCTCTCTCTCTCTCTCTCTCTCTCTCCTCTCTCTCTCTCTCTCTCTCTGTCACTCACTCACACACACACACACACACACACACACACACACGACCTCCATTTGCAGGTCTTTCTTCTCTCGTTATTTTAGTGCAATGTGTAGCTTGTCCGGTTGCAAGTGAAAACACAACTGAGTCAATAATTAAAAGAGCACCCTTAATTAATCCGCACTGCGCCCTATAAGACCGCAGTTGTCCATTTCACATGTAGAAGGTAAAAGTCACTTCGTTACTGTTATTTACAGTGTTGCTCTCCAAACGTCAAACATATTGATTGATCAAATACCATTGGTGATGGCAGAGATCAATGCTGGGAAACTGGATGCAGCACAGAACAGAGATAGTGCACTCTCTGGTGATCATGTACTGTATAGCATTTAGTGGTGGATGTACCTTTGCTCAAGTACTTCTTAAGGACTATTTTAAGTATTTATATTTTATTCAACTGAATACTTCACAGGGGAATAACTTACTTTTTACTGTATCCGACAGCTGTAAGTACTGGTTAGTTAGTTTTACAGAAACCTTTGTTAAATCTTGTGACCTCTTACAAGTAGTTGGGTAGTTGGGACCCAGATTTTTATGAGTTGTTAGAAGTTACACCAAAGAGAGATATGTTTTGAGGACCACACGGTAAAACGCTCCAATATTTCCCAAAGACAGTTAAAACATGAAAACAAATGGGACTTTCTTCTATCATACATCATTAATCCTGTCACAACCCCTCAGATTTATTGGAGGGGGCCTGACGCCCATGTCAGGAAGCATTTTACTCCAGTAGTAGGAGAGAAGGTAAAATAGTTCACTGATTCCTACATTATTGTCACACCCCGGTTTTAATAAAATGATGCAGCAGAACCAGAGAAACCATCATTTTTATGTCGAAACCAAAACTTGACTGCTGACGGTCTGGTCGGAGATTCAGGTGTGTTAGTAACCTCTAGCCTTAAACAGAGTTGAGGAGCGGTTCACAGATGTCTGGTGAGCTCCAGATTCTTTCATTTTCAAAGTTTTGTCTTCAGACCCAACAGGTGCTGACCCAGGTGACATCGCTTGAGGCAATTTATCAGATTTCACAGTTTCCACTGGAGCCACAAAAGGCTTCATACAACTTATTTTCACATATAAAGTGTAAGGAGCACTCTGATTTGTAAAATTGGTTTAAAAGTAGCTCCACCTGACCAGCTACAACATTAAATAATGTAATATATAAATAATATATCACAGGGGGGCATTTTTCTATAATAGTACATTTAGCTGATAATACTTCTGTACTTTAACTTACAGTTTTAATCCTTAAGATTCCAGTACTGGTTGATTTGGTGGCACACCTAGTTACTGGTGGTAACAGTGAGTGCAGGGACAGTGCACCACCCATTACATTTAAAAACATTCTGATATGAATAAATATGAGTTAAAGGTCCAGTGTGTATCATTTGGGATGATCTACTGGCCCAGAAAGAGATGTACACTGTAGAGTCTGACATTCTTACAGACATGAGTTCTGATTGGTGTGGTTTGTTTTTATTAGTGTTAAAAATGTATTGTTGTGCTTTCGTTACCTTAGAATGAGCCATTTTCATCTACAGCGGGAGCAGGCCTTCTTCCGAGGAGGCCACAATGTTTCAACAGGCTCTCAAAAGGGCCTTTCACAAATTGTTAGACGTTTCACGACCACCACAGTTTCTCCAGGTTGCAGGTTGGCTGAAACCCTTGCCCTTAAAACAAATCTGTCAGTGTTGATTTTGTATGCAAACATCCATGAGAAAATGAAATGGGGGGGGGTCTTAAAGGTTTTGCTAGATTTTTAGGTGGCCTCAAGCCTCCAGAGATTGGGAAGCTCTGACTTACGAGGCGAGCGGTATTCAGTTATAGCAATTTAACTGCTAGATGCCGCTAAATCCTACACACTGGCCCTTAAAAAGAAAAGTGGTGCATACAGACTCACGATATGCTTTCCCTACAGAATATACCGTATAATGCAATCTGAACATGTACTGGACTGTAGAACAACGACATCGTGCATGAAGAAATATGCTTTTTTTAATTGTGATGGCTTTAAGATTTCTAGGAGGAATAACATTAACGTTTACAGCACATGTTCTTCTGAAAGAAAACACTAAACAACTTTTTTTTTTAGCAATTAAACACATTTAAATGGTTCTGCAGGTCCATGCGCAGCACATCACACAATGTAGTCCATGTGCAGCTGATATTGTGGTGTATTCCATCCACTGTTCACCTGACAAGATTATTTACACTGCTGTCCAATGGAAGCTAGACATTAATTTCTGGCTCAACATGCTGAAAACCAAGATATTCAAGGATATATTCTTCACTAGATGTGTTTTAGTTTAGAGTTGAGGGTCTTTATGTTCCTGTTCTGACTGGTTTGGAGCCATCCACTTCATGAGTGACAGGGCCCTTATTGCTTGGTCATTGTGTGGGTCCTCTGTTTGCAGACTGCTAGCTGACCTCCAGCACATTGGTGTTGATATGGAAGCAGATGTAGGAGAAGTACTCTTGCTGACAGAGCCCTGGGATGTCACTGCTTACCTGTTTGGCAGAGGGAGACAGAAAAACAAACAAAACTGTGTGTCACACACACAGTGAACCAGTTAAGACCAACCAATGTACTGCAGGAGTGTTTGTGCAGCGTTCAAATCAAGTTGTTTTCCCAGGCAGCTCTGTGTTGTAGTTATCTTGGCACTGGCACAGTAGCCCACAGTTTCACTTTTCTCACTGCAGTCTGGCAAGGCCATGGATGGATTTGCATGAGACAGATGTCATTTCAAGTAGGCTGAACAGCAGATGGTTGACAGTTACGTAGACATCAACATGAAATCTGACTGGACAAACACTCCACTTACTGGCTGTAATTGGTCCTTTTTTTGGTCCGAACAAGAAAGCATTGTCAAATTCTCTTTCACACAACACTGAATATAGGCAACAGGCTAAATGAAAATAAAAGCTTTAAAGAACTCGCTGTGGAAGACGTATTCAGATCCTTTAAAGCAACAAGGAACTTTCATTCTGGTGGCCCCTGTGGACAAAAGCGGTAGTGTTTCTACTGCCTCATTTGATTGATTTAAAGGACAATCCGAACGAATCCGACCCAGTGGCAGGAATTAAGAAAACAGAAATGGCCAATCTTCTTATAGATGGTCTTGTTTGTGTGTGTAGGTCATATAAAGGAATCAGTATTCAATTCTAATAAAAAGTAGCAATACCCAAATTTAAATATGCTCCATTATATTAAAAGTCCTGCATTCAGAATGTTACCTAAAGCTGCTCTAATGACTATTTTTATATTAACTATGGTTGCAATTGCTAAATGTGATGTGAAAGGCAGACTTTGATAGCGCATTGCTGTTTTTTTTTTACGCATTATCGCCACCTGTAGATCACTGGAATAGTTCGAAACCATCGATTGGACTGTGTATAGCATCATCCGTGTGTATGTGAAAGTGCATCATAAAAAACTTCTCCATAGTGCTACTAGTGGTCAAAAACTTCATAGGGTACCTTTTGAGTAAAAGTACTTAAGTATTATTAGATTATTAGACGAAAAGGTAAAAGTACTCATTATCCAGCAGAATGGCCCCCATCATCGTTATACTATTATTTATGAACATAAACAACATTTAACAATAAATATCTCTGATAAGCATACTTTAAATTGGGTTACTTGGGAACTGTTACCAAGATACTGTATCTGCAATAGGCTAATATTGGACCAGCCACTTAAGCAGAATAAACTTAGTGCCTCTCGAATGTGCCGAAGTCAAGCAGAAGTATAAAGTAGCACAAAAAGGCAATATGACTAAACTACAAGTAACTCACTTAAGTGCAGTGCTTGTGTTACTGGGGTCAGTTGTTTATCCATACTGGCTATGGGCTGATTCACTGTTGTCAGATTATTTAAATTAACACATACTTATCCCAAGGTCATGAGTGAACATCCAAGCTCGAGAATTTGCATGTTTGTGTCTTCATGCATTTTCTCCCGTGCTTTAGATGAAATATGACATAACATTTGAAGCAGTGAAAGTGGATTTGGCCTCTCACATCTGTCTTGCTGGCAGTGGCAGTGGGGTCCAGATGCATGAACAGTGAGGAGAGTTCTTCTCTCAGTTTCTTTGAACGCTTCCTGTCCGTCTGCAGCAGAAGAGCCTGATAGTTCACCGGTAACCCATACCTAGCAGGAGACATAACTGTGAGTCTACTGACACATAGATATCACAGGGAAATAAATCACATGCCATTTTTCATTCATGTCGACAGAAAATGAGAGTAAATCACCAGTGTTATCAGCACTGACCTGACAACTGATTCCACAAACACCCTCAATGCTTTCAAGTGAATCCAGGCAACAAACACCTCACTGAAATTCACCTTCAGCCAGCGCACAAAGGTTCCCTGTAGAGGAGGCATTTATAATGTACCATAACACACATCCTAAAAACTTTAGAGAGCATACATGATGTTTGACTCACATATTGCTCCTTCTTGTGAACACTAAGCTGCTTCATCTCCTGCTGCCTCTTCTCCTCCAGATCAAAGCTGTACTCGCGCACGGTGAACCTGTGTGGATCATAGGCTACACTATGGTAATTGACACAGACAACACAGCTTTGACTTGATGGGGTATTTTCTGGCAATCCATCCTGCTTACTTGCTCTCCTGGGCTTTGGCTTTAAATTCACACACAGCTCTTTTGAAAAGTGTAACTGAGAAAACGCCTCCCTCTCCATCCTCGTACAGCTTCCTGATGATCACACAAAATGACGACAGAGAATTAGAGTGACACACGAAAGCGTGAAGCATCAGGTTGAAGTCGAAGACAACAAAGAGAAAATAAAGTCAACAATTATCAGAGCAAAAGCTGTCACTTAAGACCCACTAGAGTGTGTGGCGGTATATCTGCAGGGACCCTGCCCTCTGCCCCTTTTTTCTTACTATTTTGCTGTGTTCTGGAAGTTTCTGGATGTCAACTTTTGGGCAGCGAGGACGGTCTTCTTACATCTGTGTCTCCGTCTCAGAAAATAACATTATAGTTCTCTGATTCACTGCTTTGGTCTCACTAACGCCGCTCCCTCGTTTATTCAGTCTCTAAGTCACTCAACCGGACTCTAAACTGAGGTTATGCAGATGAACGGCCAGGACTTGATCTGTTGCTAAAAGCTTATGGTCTACCTTCAGGACTCTTTCAACTCTGGAGTCTTTTCTTACTTTCAAGAGACTTTTTTTTGTCAGTTTGAAGGTAAAATAACCCTTTTACATCATTTTTTCATCCTTGACAATTGTGGGTTTGACAGCACTTTTCTAGTTATTGGTCTGCTTTAGATGTTAGTCTACAAAGCACTTTATTTTTCCTTATAAGGTATACTTAACCCATGTTTCAAGTTCTGGCATGATGTCCTAAAGCATTAAAAACTTCAACCAAATACTTTTTTTCCCTCTGAAAAAAACATTTCCTTCCGTGCTACCGATCCAAACCACATGGACTCTTACTTTCTCCCGGTAATGGAACACCTGTGGTTACTTAGCCTGACCTTTTGGATGCTGAGAACAGGTACTCGGTGCTTTGCCTGTGCACTTGTACTTGGATCAAGTGGAATGGCTTGTCTTACAGGCAGGAGTGGATAAAGACAGCTCACCTGCTGGACCGTGGAACCACAAACTCTGACAAGGATTCATAGGTCCTCTCCCACTGCAAGTAGCTCCCTCTGTGACCAAACATATGTGCAGAAATACATGAATAACACATGAATATAGATACACTCTTATGGGGTATATGTTATACCACATAAAAGGTAGAATAACTTAGTTTGTTTAGTGTGCATGTGTCACTGACCTGTTCACTAATACCAGTAGTGTGGTGAGGTACTCTGAGACCACCAGGTCTTCCTTCTTCACTATGTCATTCAGACTGCGAGTTTGCAAAGGCCCACTGGAACGACAGACAATCCAGTAAACATGTCATAGTTAACATAATGTTTTTTTCTAAATATGTAACTGAGGTCACTCACTTTTGCTTGTGCTCAAGGCTTTGCAAGCTTGTTTTCACACTGTTGTACGCCGCAGCTCGGGATTTTAACTCTGTCTCCATCTGGGAAACGTCCTGAAAGACATGCAGGTGTTAACAGCACACACCAGTATCAGCAGTACATGTGATAATCTCAAAAACTACACTTTAATTGAATACATGCACATACAGAGACAACACTTATTTTATTTGCAAATTAATTTAATCTGGATTTAAGGAAAACCTTGGAATATGTGATGCAAAGTTCAGTTTCTTTTTATTTAAGACTTAAGATTTTAGGTAGTTCTTATCGCACTGATGTATGTTCAAGTGTTCATTTTGCTAGTTTTTCTTTAGTTTGGTTTTAATTTCTTATTTGATGCTATACAAAAGTGGGTTTCACATCATGCTTTACAGCTGAGACTTGCTCGCCATTTAGTCAGCCAGCTGTATGGGCGGGACCTCGACACTGTGGCTCCAACCCTGATCACTACTGGCTCCAATTGACATCACCAGCGCAAAGTGGCATCACCCTTTATCCAGGATATTTTGGCTTCATTTTTGCACAGTGGGAGGAAGTGCATAGCCCATCTTTATGCACAGTCAGTGGTCACAATACTGAAGCTCTAATTTCCAATTTACTGACTTTCTCGGAGTACCTCTTTAAGATAATTATGGCGGTAATAACTATACTTACACGTCACATATAATTATCCTACTTTTCGTCTGTACCTTGTTGAGGATGTCCACGAGGCTGGAGAGAGGCAGAGCGGTGGGATACTTGGCTTTGTCCCACTGAAACTTGGTCACGTAGCTCATCAGGTCCACTGAGAAACACACACCAGAGGTCATAACCTAAACTAAACTAAAAAGCACATATTATATACAACATATATACATATATAACAACACCACACAGTGCAATAGGTGTGTCATTCAGAAAAGGGCAAAAGCAGAGTAAAAATGCACACTTTACACAGGCAGGCACACAGCATCGCACTCCAGCTTAAAGAGCAAATAGCCAGCAGGTAAAATACCCCTCAGAGACTTCAGGTAAGCTTTCAGGGATGACAGGACGGCTTTCTGATTCCTGCCGTGGTCTGATGGTGGAAAGTGATCATAGACAGTGGTTAGCCTGGTTTGTGTTGTGTAGCTGCTATACTGCCTCTATAGCAGGAGGCTAATACAAGGTAAAGGGATCATAGTAGGCTGTATTATCTCTGATTGTGTGTGTGGGAGTGGATGTTTGTATGTATACATGCATACTGAGCTCGGTTTAAGTAGCTATTAGTCTCATTTCCAATGTGCATGCAGCCTGTGGCTTCTATGCACTTACTTAATGAGTTTCTATACAATGTAATTAACACCCTCAGCATTGTGTGTGTGTGTGTGTGTGTGTGTGTGTGTTTGTGACTCACCTCCATTGGCTAAGGCGTTTTCCATCACTTTGTCAGTGGACTGCTCCATCACTTCCCTCATACACTGGTGTGTTTTTTTAATCACACTGACCAGGCAACAGGAAAAATATAATTATCACAGAGGCGCCTCAATTTTCTTTATTCATGCATTTTACATGTTATTTATTTTGTTATAATTTTAATTATTTATTGGCTCCTTTCCTGGAAATCTCCTTTCTCCACATTCTTTCATTATTGACACTGAGGCCCACAATGAACTACTGTATCATTGTGGAGCAAGGAGTTAATTTATCAAAGCAAAGACATCTAGCTGGAGGGAAACAGTGGCTCAAAGGGAATAAAATTACAAGACCACATTTTGATGTCACAAATAGGCTTACAACGAGTCAGCTCCGATATACCAACAATGAATTTAAAATCAGGAGGGTAAACTAACCGTCAACTGCTCCTGACCATCAATTAATCATGGCACTGACCGCACACAAGCTCAGACTTACAAGTCCTAATTAAGGACAAAGCTGCAGATTAAGCTACAAATGTGCAATGACCACTGAGGCAGACAGGTTTTGTTTGCATACGACAGAGCATGGACAAAAATTGAAGTTTGTTTCATCATATTTTTCACCTTTCAGTCAGTGTGTCCAGCTTGGAGAGATCATCTGACACGCTGAGCAGACTGTCCAGTATTCCCACCTGAGGTCACAGCATAGACAGCACAGTTAGTTACTGTAGCTGTTGTATCAAATCATTAAACACAGGCCAACGGTTCGTCACATATTTTGATTTATTAACTTACGGAGGTGTCCACATATCACATTCAGTACCCCATTTAAAGGGTTTTCAGGTTTGAACTCTTGACAGAATTGAAACACTGCTGTTAAAATGTGACTCCTGGCAGCCAAGGTGAACATTGATCACGTTGAGTGAAATGGGTCAGATGGAAATTTTGCCTCAAACTGTAGAGAGCAACCTGAGCCTTTATCCCTTCACCAGAGAAGGACACCAAACACCATCACCCTCCTCAACTACACTCTACTGTACTGGTATAAACACACACCTAACATACAACTCTTCTTGCTATTTGTTTTTGACAATGCTGAGTCTTCAATATCTGGTCCTTATGTGTATTATTACTCTTTATACTTTATTTGCCTCCCTCTGGCTCTTTGCTGGGGCATAAACAACCTCACCTTGAGATCTGGAATAGAGAACTTGCAGCAGGAGGCCTGGTTGGTTTTGGCAATGGTGCGCTTGAGTTTTTCTACACTGGTTAAACTGGTCTTGTCCAGAGGGACAGATATCAACCACAAGTCGGTCATGACTCCCAGTGCTTCACATGGAGACCTCCAGTCAAAATCCTCCCCACAAGAACAAGGCTTTGGCACCAAATAGACTGTGACCCAGAGCAAAGAAACATACAGTAAGATGAACTTGAAAAAATACATGTCATTTTATTTTGTAAAATGACATTTAGGTTAATGATTTTACACCTTTGTGTTATTCTATTTCAGTTTACACAAAGTCCTTGAGCGTCCTATGACTATATTAACATATTTCCTTGGTTAAGGCTACATAAAGTCAAATAAAACAGACACTATGAAATGAAAAGAAATAGCTTTTCAAGGCGGGAATGCTTACCCTCAGGTTATCTTCATGGCCGTCCTGTGTCAGCCCCACTGTGAGTGTTGTGAAGTAGCAGCAGCTCCACCTGAGACTGACTGACTGACTGACAGACGGACAGACAGCCCACTGTGCTCTCAGATCACACACTGCAGCTGTTACATCACTCCAGGTGATTTCATAGGATGATGTGAGCAAGCACATTACTGAAAATGGTTGACTCTCAATTTGCAACTACTCTGTCACTCAGCATGCTCCTCAAAGTTAACTACAACGTCATTGTACGCGTTACTTCAGATTTTTCTGTACTTTTGTGTGCATTGATATGGAAACACCTTAAAAAGTCTTAATAAATCACTGGGCTGACAATTTACAATATGTAGTTTATTAGCAATCAGATTAACATAGATTAGGTTCCCTTTAGCTGTATTTATTTATAGTTTGTAATGCAGTTGTGACCATTAAAAAGTCTTAATATCATTCTCCTCAACAGTCATTTGTTCCATCCAATAAATTGATATTTTGTTCAAAATTATAAACGTCGACATAAACATGCCTAGCTTGCTAACCTAGTTTACAGTACAGTCTACTGTCAATTAGCCTAACTCTCTAACGTTAGCTAGTTAATTAATTAAGCTATAACTTAACCAGCTAACATCCTACGACTGATACTGACATAATGGATAAAACTATTCGGATATTTAACGAAAGTGTGTAACATAAGGATGAACTTTTTCACTGCTTTGTCACTTTTATCGGTTATATTTTCTCTTTGGTTGTCTGAACGCAGGAGCTTTGTGGAGAGGAGGGGAACTTCTGCTCACAGTGCGGTTTCTAGTCGGACCAATTTCGGAACGCTCATCTTCACTTCCTGTTTTGGCCCCGCAGCAACAACGTGGATTGAGTGGAGCTCGCCGGTGTGTAGTAACAGTGTAATGTGTGACCAGAGTCCTGTTCACCTCCTACAATGCAGATATCTAGCGTGAATGATGTGAAGATTTACAACTTAAGCCATGGAAAGTCTCTTCCAGAGGTAAGGAGCGCGGCTCGTTGCTAACGCGCACTTACATTTCATAAGCTATAAAGTTACTGCTTAGCTGGAGCTTGGCTAGCTGGCTAACACAGCTAGCCGTGAGTAGTCCTGACAATAAATAAACAATAAATAACACACTACCTTATTGTAACCTGGCATATAAATAAAGGAACACACATAGCTACAGAGTAGAACATTATTCGAGACTCCTCTATTCAGCCATACCTCATTATGCACCACTTGTAGCAGTAAATGCTGTACCAGTTATATTAATTGACCTAAGCTAAAATAAACCACACAGAGGTTGAATGAAGCACAGTTGTAAGATTTGAAAATAATTCTTTATTGGCCAAATCCTAATCACCCCTACCTCTTTAATGCAGTGGCTGTCAGATCGGAAGAAGAGACAGCTGCAAAAGAAAGATGTTGGTGAGTTGACCGCAACATATTCAGCATCACAGACTGCTTAATCTTTGTCTTATTCTGACATTTCTATTTCTATATCATCATTTTCTTTTTCAGACATCCAGCGCAGGATTGAGCTCATCCAGGACTTTGAGATGCCCACAGTGTGCACCTCTATCAAAGTGTCAAGGGATGGTCAGTTCATCCTGGCAGCAGGTAGGACAAGCTGTTGATAGTGTTTCACCAGACTTTCTTTAAAAGTGAGAGTGACATCAGTTGTCGCTCAGAACAGATTTCCAAGAAGGCAGTCACTTCATTTTTTGTGTATGTTTTTTTTATTTTCCATTCATTTCAGGCACTTACAAACCCAGGATTCGCTGCTATGACACCTACCAGCTGTCCCTGAAGTTTGAGCGCTGTCTGGATTCAGATGGTAACTCAGCAGGCGCACCCACTCATTGTACGGCACCCTGTCATGTACGACTAAATTTGATTTATTTCTTTTCTCTCCCTCAAAGTTGTGGCTTTTGACATCCTGTCTGATGACTACTCTAAGGTAAGAAACTGCTGGCCCTCTTGCCCCAACGCTTCATCCACTGCTGTTGGAAGTGTTTGTTTTTATGTTGTTATGTATATGTATCAACATGGTGTAATATACCGACCGCAAGAACGGCCTTGCTTGCAATTTTTTTTTATGCTGTTCGAGATCCCGAGTTAATTTATCTCATTATCTCAGAAAGAAAACAAAAGGCCAATTTGCAGAGATACCAAGATCATTTATCGTGAGAAAATTACTTTTGTTTTCTCTCGACATCGCAGGGTAATCATGGAGAACTCAAAAAGGATCTGCTTCATTTCATTTGATCACACCTGATATCAGCCCTCAAAGTCACTGCCATGACTGTCAGGGAGGATTCATAACACAAGTGTAAAAAGCTGTTACCAGAATGTACATCTGGGAGTTAATTTAATATATTAATCCTGGCAAGGAATCATATTAAGTTCCACAGTGAAAGCAGTCTTTACTAGGTTAAAACTGCATGAGTAATTACTAATTTACCACATTTTATGACAGTTAGTGCAGTTTTATACAAACTGCCACATCTGGAGGTGGTAAAAGGCTTGGTTTTCACTTTTGAACTCACTGTTTCTTCTTCTGTGTGTTGCTGCAGTTGGTGTTTTTGCACTCTAACCGCTACGTAGAGTTCCACTCCCAGCACGGACACTACTACAAGACACGCATTCCAAAGTTTGGACGGGACTTTTCTTACCATTACTCCTCCTGTGACCTGTATTTTGTAGGCTCAAGGTGAGAGTTAATTGCCTGACAGACTCTGGCACATTTCTGATTTGTCCTATGTGTGATGTAGAAATAAGCTGGCTGGGCAACACTGTTGATGTTTTGGTTTTGGTTTTCAGTTCAGAGGTGTTCAGGCTGAATCTGGAACAAGGACGCTTCCTCAACTCACTCCAAACTGATGCTGTGTAAGTACAGAAAGTGTAATAGTAAGTGGTTAATGTTAGATTCAGCCAGGTGAAAATATTAAAATGATTCTACCACTAACCATTAACTGATGACTTCTTTGCTCTCGTTGCTCTCAGCTGATGTTCATGATGCTTTTTTTTCTTGACTTCTCGACCAGAGAGAACAATGTGTGTGACATCAATCCCGTCCATCATTTGTTTGCCACAGGAACCTCTGAGGTAAGTGCCATAGCAGGCTGTGTGTGAAATGAGGCACCAGTTATGAGCAGACACAAGTGAAATCATCACTCTCTGTGTGTGTGTGTGTGTGTGTGTGTGTGTGTGTGTGTGTGTGTGTGTGTGGTCATTGCTACGTGCATTTTAGTATAAAAATAAAATATTGGAAGACTTACATTATAGTACTTCTTAAATATGTTTATACAAATAAAAACCCCTAATAAGGATAAAAATGTCCATGATGAGTATTAAAAGACTTATTTTTGCTCCTTCCAGTATCTGGTTTCTTTGTGCTGCCTGTGCTTAGAATATAACACACTTACACAGTTAGACTTTATAGTTCACTTATACTGCCATGTAGAGTTTCACTGCCATTGGATGTGTGCAATAAGAAATTGGTTGATTTTCACTGGTGTTTAACCAGGTATTTTTATATTTTTACATATGTAATATATATGTTTCTATTTTTTTTATAAGAAAAAGGTTTTTCTCAGACTGTTCTTATTACCAAAATTGTAGATCTTTGTCTTCTCTCATTTCTTTGATATTGTTCGGTGTAAGAATCACACACCAGCTGGGCTGATAGAAATACGTCTGTTGCATGAATTGTGAGTGTTAAAGTTCAAGTTTTTCAAACCGTTACTGCTCTCACTTACATTAGGAGCTGCCAACATGAGAGGTTGCCCATTGCAGCTTTTTATTAGTCTTTTAAAAAGTCCCACTTAATTTAAAAAATCTTTTAAAAGTCATGAGTTGTAAGCTTCCTCGAATCTTCAGTTCCCCTGAATTTGTCTGACTCTTTGACATCTCCTCCATTGGATTACCAGGGCAGGGTCGAATGCTGGGACCCTCGTGTCCGGAACCGAGTGGGCATGCTGGACTGCGCCCTGAGCAGCCTCACTGAAGGAACAGAGTACGTACCAAGCTGTCGCACCGAGATAACAAATGATTTCAGCTGATGTCAGCCTGACGATGCATATGTAGGCACATGGCACTGACTTTTCTTCACTGCCTGTAACTCTGCTGCATGAAAAACAAGCTGCAAGCTGTGCATCATTATGGTACACTTAGAAATATCCAGCTTTCAACTGATTCACAGTTTATTATTCTGTCACAAAGCAGCAACAGTGTCTTTATTTCAGATCTTTGTCTTTGTGTCTCACTTGGCCTATTATCTGCTTAATATTCGGCTGTTATTAATATTATTCTTATTTGTGTTTTTGTTGACAGAGTTCAAGGTTTGCCCTCAATTAGTGCGCTGAAGTTTAATGGCTCCCTCTCCATGGCAGTAGGCACCAGCACAGGACAGGTAAAAAAAACACTGAGTCGTGTTTTGGACTAATAACTCAATCAAGTGTGACACATTATATTGTCATGATGGCTATCTGCAGCCGCTGGACAATCGGTCCTGATGGCTCTCTATAACACTGGTCTACGTCTCTCGTTATTCACTTCCGCTCTCTTTGTTGTTGTTGTAAACTCTCAGCTGCCCACATGGTGTGACATTCTGCTTCTTCTTCCTGACATTAGTTGACTCACAAAGAAGTGGCTGATGTCATGATGTCTATTCTAAAGGGTTCCACTGTTCTCAAAACAAGCTCTGTTTTGAGTGAAGAAGTCTTGTGTAGCTGGCGCCGCTGTGACATAGCCTCTTCTGGTTTAATGTAGCGTTTTTAGAATTTTAACATTTTTTAGTATCGTTGTAGCATTTGAAAGCCTACTTCTTTCAGAATAGGTTGGTATGAAATTCAGTTGCCACTAGATGTCACACTAGAGCACCAGTATCTCATACGCAAACAGTGACACTAGGCAGACCAGACTCCAGTGACAAAACCAGTAATTTTACCTAGCAGATCATCATAAAACACACTTAAAACTGGACATCTGTGTTAGTCTTTCCACAGTCTTTCCAGCAATCACCAATACTGGTTTGGTTGATAATAAACCCCTAATTCACAGAGTTAAATTGGAAAATAGCCGTGAAATGGGCTGCTATGGCTGCCATGTAATGTTAGCTAATCTTTGGCGACAAATGCGCTGGTTAGAGCACATCCACTAACAGTGCTTGTTTCTGCCACTGGCAGGCTTGGATTGATATTTTAAGTATCTGACTGCATTATGAAAGGGTCCCTTCAGACATAGAGCTTTTGTTAAACCAGAAACAGTAATATCGCTATCACTCGGCACCAGACTTCATAGACAAAAATGGTAATTTTGCCTCATGTAACATTGTAACATTGTAGCAACTCTGGTTTCGTCAAGATAAATCCTTAATTCACAGATATAGATTAGAAAAACATAAATTTCAGTTCACTCATATGCATTAACATACACACACGGTCAGACTGGATTTTAGTGGTGTTATCCACCCTTTGCTTTGTCTTGAAGGTGCTGCTCTATGACCTGCGCTCCAGCCAGCCACTGCTGGTTAAAGACCACTTCTACAACCTGCCAATCAAGTCACTCAACTTCCACGATCAACTGGACCTGGTTGTGTCTGCCGACTCCAAGAT